TTCCCCCAGAGGCTGGGGGTGTTGGGTGTGAACTGTCCTCATCTCAAAGGAGTCCACTTACCCAAGGCCACGCACCCTCCCGGGGGCAGCTTGTGCTCCATGACCGATTGATGCCGGGGGTAGAAAGACCTGGCTTCTTGCTTCAGCTGGGGACAACTCTGAAGGGCCACCCCAGCTCCAGAACTCCCCATGGCTCCAGAGCTCCCCATCGCACCCAGCAATGCAGGTGAGGTGTCTGCTGACTGCAGCATCAGTGTCACCTCTCCCTGGCTGGCAAGGGCTGTGCCCAGGGCGCTCAAGAAACTCCTCTGGGACACGAGTCTCTTCGGGAAGACGATGAGGATGAAGACCTTTAGGATGACCCACTTCCACTGTATGGATAGTAAATATATTTTCTCTTCCTTATGATTCTCTTAATACTCTTTTCTGTAGTTTACTTTAAGAATACAACATATAATACACATGGCATACAAAATATGTGTCATCTCAGACACATTCCAAAGCAACTGCTTCTACCAGCGTTGTGTTTCCTCTAATTTTCTTTTTCTTTTTTTTTTTGAGATGAAGTCTCGCTCTGTGGCCCAGGTTGGAGTGCAGGGGTGGGATCTCAGGTCACTGCAACCTCTGCCTCCCAGGTTCAAGCAATTCTCCTGCCTCAGCCTCCCAAGTAGCTGGGATTACAGGTGCACATCACCATACTCAGCTAATTTTTGTACTTTTTTTTAGTGGAGATGGGGTTTCACTATGTTGGCCAGGCTGGTCTCAACACTCCTGACCTCAAGTGATCCATCCACCTCAGCCTTTTCCCAAAGTGCTGGGATTACAGGCATGAACCACCATGCTTGGCCTCTAATTTTCTATTTACTGATGTCACCAAAGTACAACCCTGTCATAATTTTCATTGAAATAGAAACATGTATTCTGCATCTAGCCATTCATCTCGAAGGTTTTTTCCCCTTATTTCATAGTTGTCCCAGGATGACTCCTCCTTTGCCCATGAAAGCACCCATGAACTTTACTTGGATTATTTGTAACCTCACAAATTCATACTAAGTTTTGCCTTTATTTACAAAAACTTAACTCCCCAATTATGAAATTAATTACATGCTATTGTAGTTTAAAAAAATAAAATTTAAAATTACCCATAATTATCCTATTCAGAACTGACTGCTTTAATATTTTTATGTTTCCTACCTTTTAAGAATTCTAGTTGAGACCATACTGTATTCTCCCTTTAACACCTGACATAGTATCTTCAGTATTTCTCCAGAGCATTAAAAATCCTTTCTAAAGATGATTTTTTAAAGGTGATATAATATTCCATGGTGGAGGCTGAGCTCTTATAAGTAAACCATTCTCTGATGTCAGGCCTTTAAAATAGCACCATTGGCTGGGCATGGCGGCTCATGGCTGTAATCACAGCACTTTGGGAGGCTGAGGCGGGCGGATCACTTGAGGTCAGGAGTTTGAGACCAGCCTGGCCAATATGGTGAAACTCCATCTCTACTAAAAATACAAATATTAGCCAGGTGTGGTGGCAGGTGCCTGTAGTCCCAGCTACTTGGGAGACTGAGGCAGGAGAATGGCGTGAACCCAGGAGGCAGAGCTTGCAGTGAGCCAAGATCGCACCACTGCACTCCAGCCTGTGCAACAGAGTGAGACGCTGTCAAAAAAAACAAAAACAAAAACAAAAAAACCAACAAAAACTAAAAAACCAGCACCAGTGTTTTGAATGAACCAGGGGGAGTCCACCCACAGGGAATGCCCTCCAACTCCAGAACGTGGACCCACGCATGTCTATTGGGTCCCACAAGGGGACCAGTACTTTGAGGACTCTGTAGGCCATCTAGAGTCTCGTGTATCCCCCCAGAGAACCATTTCCCAACATGTACCTCTGCTTCATAATTTTAGATGGCTTGCAGGTGAACATTACTATTTTTTAATTTCAAGACTTGTGTAAATTATCTGGGACTTCACAAATGCTATTCCTTTGGCCAAGTAGAAAGCATTTTTAAAAATGAGTTGATAGCCACTAAGTACATGAAAAAAAAATCCTCATCTCTAATAATTAGGGAGATGCAAATCCAAACCATGAGATACCACTTCACACTCATCAGGATAACTAATATGAAAGCAAAACAAAACAAAAAACAAAGCAGGTGCCAGGCAAGGATGTAGAGAAACTAGAACCCTTGTGCATTGCTGGTGGGAATGCAAAATGTCACAAAATTGAGACTTGGTATTACCATATTATCCAGCAATTCCACTTCTGAGTATGTACACAAAAGAAAGCAGGGACTCAAAACAGGTATTTGTACACCAGTGTTCACAGTAGCATGATTCACAGTAATCAAAGGTGGAAACAGCTCAAATGTCCATCAATGGATGAATGTGGTACACACATACAGTGAAATATATTCAGCATCAAAAAAAAAAAAAAAAGTTTGGCACATGCTGCAGCCTTGAAGACATGATGCTGAGTGAAATAAGCCAGCCACAAAAGGACAAATAGCGTACAACTCCCCCTGCTGGAGGTATCCAGAACAGTTAAATTCAGAGACAAAGTGTGGTTACCAGGGGCCTGGGGAAGGGCAAAGGGGTAGTTAATGTTTAATAGGTAGAATTTCAGCTTAGGATGATGAAAAAGTTTTGGAAATAGATGGTGGTGACAGTTGCACAACAATACAAATGTACTTAAATGCTACTGAACTTACAAATGATTAAAATGGTAAATGTTAATGTATATTTTACCACAATAAAAATAAGTTGATATAAAGAAAAAAAATTAGCAGACGATGTGGCTTAAATCAAGAACCCATCTCTATAAAAAATAAGCAAAATTAGCTGGTCATGGTGGTGTGCTCCTGTGGTCCCAGCTACTTGTGAGACTGAGGTGGCAGGAGCGCTTGAGCTCAGGCGGTCAAGGCTGCAGTGAGCTGCTGTGAATGCACCACTGCAGTCCAGCCTGGGGGACAGCATGAAACCCTGTCTCAGAAAAAAAAAATAAATTATATTTCTGGCCCCAGAAATGTTTTAAAATCCTCTGTGGTAAATATGTAGGAAAAAGAGAAGAAAATATGACATTTATTGAGAACCTATTTTGTATAATTGTTTTAACTATTTAACTATTTTATGTCACTTAGTTCTAATACTGTGATGTAGGCACTAATCCAGATTCAGATTAAGAAGCTGGGTCCAACTGTCAGTAAGTGGCCAGACCACCTTCCAAACCCAGCCTGTCCACCTCCTGATTTTGTGCTTTCTGGCACACCTCACTGCTTCCTGCTTATCCCATTTCACTTTCTTTCCACTGGACACTGTAAAAAATTTCACCTATTTGGAAGTTTGCATCTGCAGCGAATTAATTAGGAAAAACACAAATTATGGACCAAGTGGTACCTAAATAATAGAAGCAAATCTTGTCCTTCACAGAACACACTGGTCAAAGCCAGAAACAGAACTGAGCACTCACCTGGGACTTGGCTCTTCTGGTTTCCTCAGTTTTGAGCCAGATATAGTTGCCATATTCCATATGAAATCAGTAAAAAAATCAGTAAAAATCAATAAGGTGAAAGGGTTCTGTGACCAGTCATGGTGGGGTACGGGGAGGGGGTTGCCAGGGACTTTTAGGACCCTGGAAAACAGATATAACACATCCTCACCATGGTACTTTGGAAAATGCAGAAGGGCACAGAGAGCAAAAACCTACCACCATAAAGCACCTCATCACCTAGAAAGAACCAGTTCACATTTAGGTCAATATAGTTTCCATTTTTACTGCGCATACACATATATACAATGTATTTTAAAAATGGGTTTTACAATTTGTAGTTTGATCACTTGGTTTACAACTAAATATACTGTGAACATTTTCTCTTCTACAACAGTTAAAAGAATTGCATAGTTTGGAGGAAACATAATTTATTAAGCAATCTTTTTGGGGACATTGAGGTATAATTTTTTTCTAAGGAGACTTCATTCTTTTTACAATGCCTTTGGGGAAAAAAAGGGGAGTCCTTGTCTTACATAGCTTTCTGTAGATGATGGAAACTTGCCCTTTCATTTAGCCTTTTTACTTGCTTCTCTACACCCACCTAATCACCAATCAAGTAACCCAACTTATGTTTTCCAACCTCTCTCTTCTCTTTGCTTCCTCTTTCCTACCCAGTGTCCCTGCACACACGCAGACAGACTTCCATTCCTTCAGCACTCTGGTTCCTCCACTTAAAGAGGCTTTCTTTCCTTCTAGAGAGACTATTTTAATTGATTTTGATCAACTCTACTCAAAACTGTATCCTAAGGTCCACATTAGAATTAGTCTTTAATAATCTGAAGATATAATTCAATCATTTAAAAGAACATATTAAGAAGACCTTGGTAGAATTACATGTATCAAGAAACACCAGGCCTTGCGTGGTTGCTCACGTGTGTAATCCCAGCACTTTGAGAGGCTTAGGCAGGTGGATCACAAGGTCAGAAGTTTGAGACCAGCCTGGCCAATATGTTGAAACCCCGTCTCTATTAAAAATACAAAAAAATTAGCCGGGCATGGTGGCACATGCCTGTAATCCCAGCTACTTGGGAGGTTGAGGCAGGAGAATTGCTTGAACCCGGGATGCAGAGGTTGCAGTGAACTGAGATTGCGCCATTGCACTCCAGCCTGGGTGACAGAGTGAGACTCCATGTCAAAAAAAAGAACCACTGGACTTGGCACAATGGAGATATTGCTGACTTTCTTTTTTTCTTTTTTTTTTGAGACAGAGTCTCGCTCTGTCGCCCAGGCTGGAGTGCAGTGGCGTGATCTCGGTTCACTGCAAGCTCCGCCTCCCAGGTTCACACCATTCTCCTGCCTCAGTCTCCCGAGTACCTGGGACTATAGGTGCCCGCCAACACGCCCGGCTAATTTTTTGTATTTTTAGTAGAGTCGGGGTTTCACAGTGTCAGTCAGGACGGTTTCGATCTCCTGATCTCGTGATCTGCCCACCTCGGCCTCCCAAAGTGCTGGGATTACAGGCGTGAGCCACCGCGCCCGGCCGATATGGCTGACTTTCTTTTGAAAAAAGAAGTAGTTTTTTGGGAGAGGGCAGGGCAAAGAGGTAAGAAGTAGTCAGTTCTGTAAGGAAACGTTAGAGACCATTTTGGAAATGTATTCATTATTTTAAGGCAACTAACAAATGATCATCTTTCAGTTAGGACATTGTAGCAGCCGCCTTTACTGGTCATGAAATTTGCATGATATCTAAAATTATATTTCTGGAAATAGGTCAATGTCGATTAATAGTAACTTTGTATAGAAAGGCAGATGCCAGCTAGCATAAAAGCGGTACGTGCAGACGGTGGTAGTTCTGGAGTCCTGGAAGCCACGAGGTGCTCATCCATCACAAGGCCATCTGGAAGGTAGGGATGCTTGATCATTAAAGGAAACCTCTCTGGCAGTTCATCCTGCTGCCCACAAACGTGGCATATCTACATGCCTACTGTGAACCTGCTCTTCTCAGGACACTCACATTGGAACCTAGCCCAGTGGTGATGCCTTCACTTGCAGGGATGAGCAGAACCTGATTAGGTTCTGATGGGTCCCATGTTCCGGGAAGAGAACATGGCCCCTACATATCCAATCATTCAACCTACACTTATGAAACACCTATCCTGAGTCTGACACCCAAGATACAAATGGCAAAGACACAATCCCTGTCTGGATTGGGGAATTCCTTCCTGTTCTCAGTGAAATGTTTGCTTTCATTTATTTCCTGGACTTGAATATTTTCCATTTCTAACATCTCCAAGCCCAAAACTATTATAGGTCTCTGAACTTGGGGGGCCCTAGAAACCTGGCTCAGGCTGGGGTAGAGAGAGGACCATCGCCTCTTTTTCTCTCCAGGTGCTGCCCTTCTTTTCATTGTTTTCCTCAAATTAGTAAAAATCAATAAGGTGAAAGGGTTCTGTGACCAGTCATGGTAAGGTATGGGGAGAGGGTTACCAGGGACTTTTAGGACCCTGGAAGTTCCTAAAGGACTAGCAAGGGGCCAAGTCTCTGATAGAATTTGCTGTTGGGATGGACTCCAAATGAGCTGCCCATCCTGGTTTGGGTCCTCCTGCCCAAAGGAAAGGAACACCAGAGAACATCTCTTGGTTAAACAAGAGACCAAGACTTGTTTATTTTCCTCAATAGAAGTTCAGACCATAAAATGTCAAACAGACTTGAAATACATCTCCATCTGAAAGGCAGCAGGACTAGCCAGGTTTCCGAGGAAATAAATATCAAAGAAGCCAAGGCAACTATCTCATCAAGAGTCTGTGACGCTTTTATAAGCAGAACTTTAGTTGCTAGGCTCTAGCAAGCCAAGAGGTACAAGGAGAGCCTACTAACTAAGCACCCCCCAAGGCAACTTCAAAGGGCAAAAGAAAGAGGAGAACCTCAGCTTACCACAGCCAGGTAGAAATGCCTGAGGAAAGCAGCGGAGCTGGCCGTGCCAGCATTTACACAGGGAACACTTCTTGGGCAGCCAGGTGTCATGGGGCACAGACCCACAGTTCCTGAGAATGAACAGGTAAGGCAATAGCCATGGGTCTGAAATTTCTACTTCCCTTTCCCTCTCCTCTCCACGGCTCCCCACCCCTCTGAATGGCTTACTCTTTGCGCACATCATGCTCACAGTTTCGTCCATAGAAGGAGGGGGGGCAGGCACAAAAGGACCCCAGCATGCAGGTTCCCCCATTCAGGCAGCAGGTTCTGTTTAGCTCCTTACCTGAAAGGTAAGAACAGATGACTGAGGGTGTAGGGATGGAAAAGTGCAAGGGCAATTCCTGTAAGCGAAGGTTAATGCAACACTAATGTGTTGTCCCACAGAATAAGACTCTGTGCCTTTGAGCAGAAGTCATTTTCATGCATAGGCCAGTGGTGGTTCTGGGGTTCCCCAGCGTGAAGTGGACTCAGGTGAGGAAAACTGCGCTCTAGGGAAGTAAAATACACAATCCCTGTCTCACTTCCAAAACCAAAAGCAGTCCAGCACCTGCCCAGTTCCAGAACCAGGTGCCCTTTTAGGTGAAAGAGCGTTGGAAAGATACTCAGGAGACACATGAAGGGCCAGGGCAGAAGCATCGAAGCCAGGCAGTTCTTACTGTTCTGTATCCCCATGGGCGACACACGTTGGGAAGACCGAGGCCGAATCGCAGGCTCCTCCTGGGGCCGAATGCTGTCATCTCTGAAGGCCAGGTCTCCCCAAGATGGACGTGCAAATTCCCGATGGCTCAGCCCTTAATGACAAAATCAGTTCATGGAGTCTGTATTTCAGGCCACATAAAAATTGTGAGTGATCAAAATAACAAAAGGTCTCTCACCGGCAACTAATCCCAGTTCAAAGGCTTTAGAAATGGCCATGATCCAAATCACACTAGGAAGAGGAAGTCAGACATGAGTTAGCAAAACAAAGGAAATAAAGCCTTACAAGTTAACACCTGGGTCCTCCCATCGCAAGGACAGGACCACAGATCACTCAAGAGAAATTGTAGAGCGCCACCTTTCTTTGTTTAATGGCCAATTCATGTAACAAAGAAAAATGTTGAAAAAGTCACCAATATCCAAGTCTTTTTAATATATTTTGTTATTTCTTAGGCCCTGTCCTCACATAAGTACCTAATTTTAAGTAGGTTTATGTCTTTTATCTTTTATTTCACATATTTTTTCTCCTGCATACAGTTTTCATACAAGGATTTAAAAATGGCTGCGTCCCATGTTACTGATGAATCACATTTTACAAACTACTTTATTTTTTGAGATGGAGTTTTGCTTTTTCACCCAGGCTGGAGTGCAATGGTGCGATCTCAGCTCACTGCAACCTCTGTCTCAAGCGATTCTCCTGCCTCAGCCTCTGGAGTAGCTGGGATTACAGGTGTCTGACACCTGCAATCCTAATTTTTGTATTTTTAGTAGAGACGGGGTTTCACCTTGTTGGCCAGGCTGGTCTCAAACTCCTGACCTCAGGTGATCCACCCGCCTTGGCCTCCCAAAGTGTTGGGATTACAGGCGTGAGCCACCGTGCCCGGCCAAACTATTTTAACCAATCATTTAAAAGGTTTTTAGGTAAAAAATGTGGTGTTTTTTTTTTTTTTTTTTTTTTTTTTTTTTTTTTTTTTTTTTTGCTATTATCTTAATGGTTTTGCAAGTATCGTATCTGCTCATGCCTTTAATCTTTTCAGAAGATTTTAAATTTGGTTGTAGTATTGACCTTTGTTTACACAAGAATAAAGAAACACTATTTCATAGACAGAGTCATTAACGTAAAATGAAAATTAACATTAACAGGAAAATGTTAAAAGCCAACGGCAAAGGTAGAAGTAACAGTGTGAAATTCCAGGTCTTTCAGGAAAAAGAGCAATGCTGTTGGCAGCACTTTAAGGCTTAAGCAAGAGAAAAATCAAATGACGGGTGTAGAACATTTATTTCCTAAACTGGCAATCTCTAGCAATCAAAAAAAGCTCACATTCAAGATTAGCTCATACCTGTAAGAGAAGCGGGCCATCTTCCTGCAGTCCGTAGCTTTTAGCAATTAGCGGGGAAAGAAGGCGTTAGCATCGCTTTAATTCAGAGTCATTGCCAAAACAGCCAAAGGAAAACATTCATCTCCTAAAGCGAAAATGGCAATTTAAGAAGAAAATGAGAAATATGCGTTCCCCAGAAGGTCGTAGCAGAAGCAGGAACAAGATGTCCAGGGGAAACTGGAGGGCTTTCGGCCTTGAAAGTTTAGACCTTGAGCTGGAGACTCAGCCTTTCCGGGGATTCTCCTTCTTCAACAACAAACCCCAGTCGGGGCGGGGAGACCCTTCAGGTGGGCGGGACGCCCACCAGCATGACAATGGCCCACATGCAGGGAGAGGAGTCTTGCAAAACTGTGGTTAACTAGTCCTAATATCTCTCTCATTAGTTGCAGGCTAAAATGATCAGATGTACTCTTTTGGGGCGGGGGGCGGGGGGAAGAAAGAAAGAAAGAAAGAAAAATCAGTTTCTCGAATCAAGTTGGTGATTCCAGGTTGGAGGGGTGGTGGAAAGTAATTGCTTTAATTAGGAAAACCTGAAAATGTATGGGTCTCAAGGCGTCTGATACTTTATTTTATTTCAGGAAGTTTTTTTTCCTGAAATTTGCTTCCACCTTTGCTTTTCCGGGAGTTTTGAGCCCCGTACTACCGCTGGGGGATACCCGGGTGGCCAAGAAAGGGGTGCTCTCCGCCCGAGGAGCTAGGTGTGTGTCAGGGGAAGACTAGGAAGCTTGAAACTGAGATAGAAGTTCAGGGTCAGGAGGGGTTCCTTGGGGACTCCAGACTTGAAGTGCAAATTCCAGGCGGACCTGAATTCCTGGGAGGACGCGGGAGCCGGCGCCAGGTGCCCGGGAGAGGGGAGGGGCGGCCAGGGGCGCAGCCGCTGGGGCTCTGAGTGGGAGTGCCTGTTCCAGGAAAAAGTTCTAGAACCACGGCAGTCCGGCATGAGAGGCCGTTTCAGTCCCCAATCACGGGAATTTATCTCAGCCTTCAGCGCCCACGGTGCGACCTCTTGCAGCCCCTCGCCGTCCTGGCCCCACGACACCGGGAGTTACCCCCGGGCTCTAATGTGCCGCTTGCAGGGGTAAACGTGTTTATTGAGTGGCTCCACGAAGCTCCAGACGCCCCAGATGGAGAGGCACGTCTATGAGCCGGAGTCGCCTCCCCTAACATTTCAGTCCTCCGGGTAATATGTTACTAAATACGCCCAAAGTCGTTAGTAGTTTCTAAATCGCATTTAATTCCAATTTCTGAAGGAAAACCTGACGGTTACTTAATATTGCCAGGCACACAGATGTGAAGCTTTTATTAGATAGTTGTTTCCATCCATCTCTGTTTATTGGATTTAGGCCTCGGCAGAAAGAATTGGTGGCATCCGAACCCATTTCAGCGTCAGTGCCTACCTGTGTGGATGCCATGGATCCACAGGTGCTGGGAAGAGGTGCTGTTTACTTCTACACATAATCTTGGGAGAAGCAAACGTAAAATAATTTGTACTGGGGGAGTGAGGCCCCATCCAGTCAAGGGTGGGATGCAGTAACATTTCCAACTCCACAGCAGTTGACTATTTCATTCCTGCTGTGCTTCACCTCCTCCCTGTGTGGTCTTTTCAGGTGAAACGCTTCAAGTACCATGCTGAGATTCATAGGGGACATGGGAACATGGCCTGAAGCTCTAGGAGGCCGGAGGTGGGGGAGGGCTCTGCAAAGGAGAAGGCTAACCCTGGAGCTGCAAGGAGGTGTAAAGGTGTTACTCAGTGTGGTACATTTGTAAGGTAGCTTGTGCACCACAGTCCTCACCAGTCCAAGGTGCTAAGTAGATAAGTAGCGCCCACAATATTAGTCTCACTTTGTGGACAAGACAACGAGTTCTATTTGGGGATTTGAATGTCTTGTCTTCAGAGACTGGGCAGGCCTGTGGCAGAACTGGCAACAGAACACACCCCTGCGTTGCTATTTCCTTATCTAAAGCTCTTGTGGAATTTTTAGAGCTTAAATAGGACCCCTGGAAATCACTGCATTTTCGGAGGAAGTAACTGAGGTCTCCAGTCTGGTGATGTTGGCATTGATGGGACCAGAATCCCAGGACGCCAGCTTTTCAGCCACACAAAATCCCTTCTCTAAGGACCAGAACCCCCTGAAGAGATCCCCATTCCCCGTAGGTACTGACTGCAGAGGAAGCCAAGTGGATCCAGGGTAGTCAGAGCCTGGGCCAGGTTTTGGGATGGGGGATGGGGAGAAGGGGAAGGGAAGGGCTGTGGTGGTTAAGAGAGGTTAGATATTTGCTGTTGGGCTGGAGATGTAAGGGCTATTTAACAGGTATTTGATGTCTACTGCTGGGCTGCCTGTAGACTGGAGCTTGGCTCTGGAGAAACAGCTGTGAGAAGTGACCCCACTGTGAGGCTGGAGAGGAAGAACAGTAATTGTTGATTCTAATTGTACTAACTGCAAAAAGTTGTTGCTGCCTCCAGGTGGGGAAATTGAATGACTACCCTAGGATGGCCACTGGTCACCTCTGCTTGGTCACTGTTGGAACTGGGCTGCTGGCCAGCCTCCAGGCCAATGAGTGCTTTGTGTCAAAAGGCCAGGCCTAGGATTGGGAAGTGCTGTGCAATGGGGGTTCCCCAATCGCAGTCAGCCCATCTCATCCCTTACTAAAGGCACTGAGAACAGAAAGTAAAAAACCATGCTCTTGGTATTGACCATTTCTTGGTACTGCCCTTGAGACACTGTGTATTAAAAACTGGGGCAGATTGTGTTTAAAAATCACACAAATAAGCCTTTGACTTAAAACCATCCAAACAAGAATGGTGGAATGAAATACATCATAATCAAAGGACAGACTTCCTGTGTCTGCCTAAAATTCAAGGAAGAAAATAAACTTGGAGAATGGGATCAATTTTAGCTATCAAAAGCCAATTCGACCTTGTTTAAATGGTTGAGAACACATAGAACTAAATTCCAACCAAAGAGTTAACAGAAGAACGCCATTTCTGCAGTACAATGACAGTATTTCAAGGTTAAAAGCCTCCTTTTATCATAGGGCTCTTAGGTCTTACCTCTGTCATTGTTTCCTTGAACATCCAGGCAGGCCAGAAGATGGGAGAGAGCAGAGGGGCTGGGGGAGTTCTGTATATATATGTACCCTCCAGCTGAGGAATGTCAGGGCCTCTAATTTCGTCAAGCTTAGCGCCCAACAACTTCTGTTAACACCTGAGCTACACTCCTGCGGAAGCATTATCCACCCAGTGTGTCCTGGCCACACTTCATTAACAAGTTAATGACTTTCTGTTTTCACTGGCAAACTTACAAATTCCAACTGGAAACCTATTCTGTATTTGCCACAGGTCTCTGTGTGGGACATAAAAGGACAGATTCCTGCATTCAAAAATCTGCAATTTCAGTGGGGAAGATGTGCTCAAGCGAGTCATTTTACAGCCATATTGTTACACAAATGGCATAAGAGGAAGGGAGAAGGGCTTAAGAGAGGACTTCATTTTTTTCTGTGAGCCATGGGGGCTGTATCATATTTCTTCCTATGTAGACATACTATACATGATTTTATCAATGAATAGACATGACATGTTTCCACGTTTTGTGGTGAACTTCCTTGTACGTATATCTTGCCGAACGCTTGAAAGCATATTCCTCTTGTAAATTTCTAGCACTGGAATTGCTTGGTTAAAGGGTGGATGCTTCCAAATTATTTTCCAAGAAGCCTGCCCCTCCTCCCTCTCCCTTGAGTTGGTATTGAAAGCTCATCTCCCAAGTACTTACCAACTCTGGCTGCAGCAAGCATCTTAAGTTTTGCTAATACAGTATGTGAAAAGTAGTATTTCATTGTTGCTTGGATTTACATTGTGTCCTGTGGTTATTGGGTGTTTGTATTTCATTTTCTATGACCTGGCTGGTTCTTCTTACAGAGCACTTGAATTGGCTTCTTTGAGACTCAGCCCAAATGTCATTTGCTCTGGGAAGTCCTTGCTGAGACCATCTTCCCTACTACAGCTTCCAGCTGTTCTGAGAGCCCTGTCCTGGCACCCACTGACCCCGGAGTTTATCTTGTCATCACTGTATTTTTTTTTTTTAGACGGAGTTTCGCTCTTGTTGCCCAGACTGGAGTGCAATGGCATGATCTCGGCTCACCCCAACCTCCGCCTCCCTGGTTCAAGCGATTCTCCTGCCAAGTAGCTGGGATTACAGGCATGCACCACCATGCCCGGCTAATTTTGTATTTTTAGTAGAGACGAGATTTTACCATGTTGGCCAGGCTGGTTTCAAACTCCCAACCTCAGGCAATCTGCCCACCTCGGCCTCCCAAAGTGCTGGGATTACAGGGGTGAGCCACCTTGCCCGTGTAAGGTGTATTGCAAATTGCTTGTGTTTTTTTTTTTTTTTTTTTTTGTCTTTCACCAACTCTTCCCCCTATCCTTTATTCCCTTGGAGTAAGAGGTCCAGAAATCCGGTCTTCCAGAAACTTCAGCTTCTCCAACCTCTAGTGAAGTGTTTACCTGTGCTGGTTTTCTTTTGGCTTAGTCTTTCTCCAATAGCCACGTCTGTGACAGAGAGATATTAAATCTCAGTTCTATTTTCTAAAATGGGGGTGGGGCGAGGGCAAGGTCCTTGAGAAACCTTGAGAAACGCCACAGGAAAACAACTTGTTTCCCCAATCCTGATCCTAGAAATAAAACAAAGAATACCCTCTTCCCCCAGCAAAGAAGGAAAAAAAGACAAATCTGAAATATGTAACCCAAACCACCACTGATATTCTGGGCTGAATTCTGGGCAACTTATTAAGAGTATTTACCACATGTAAGACAAGATAATTTTGATGTGTTTACTGGTTTCGCTCTTGATGCTCAGGCTGGAGTGCAATGGCGCAATCTCGGCTCACTGCAACCTCTGCTTCCCAGGTTAAGCAATTCTCCTGCCTCAGCTTCCCAGGTAGCTGGGATTACAGGTGTGCGCCACCATGCCCAGCTAATTTT